GTGGGATATTTATTTACTCAATACTTGCTGAAAGGCAAAGTTTGCTGGAGCTTATGAGTGTGGACACATCCGCAGCAACAGGCGAGTGATGGCAAGGGTGAACATGCTTGATTTCATGTTTAGGCCATGAAAATCATGAGAACAATTTTTTTTGGACTGAGAAACTCTTTAAGCGCTTTTATTTTGTTGAGATACATGTTACTCTTTCTGTTTGGTGATCTCTACAAGCTCTGAAGAGGTTTTCCAGTTCTACATTTAAAGACTCTTTCAATCTTAGTATATGAGGACGGACGCTGCCTGATGAGCGCTGGAAAATGATTACAAGTGTCAATTTCAAAAGTTAGAGTGCCTTTAGATATGCTCCTCACTGCCTCAGTGTAGTTGATCTGTATTCTGCACGGTTCACGGTGAGGAAATAAATCATTGTTCTATGCCTGTGAGTCATCTCGCCGTGCAGAAACTATGGTGTCATTATGTTGATATTTGTCGACTATTAGCCATAAGGAATAACCGCTCACAGTCATATGCATAATGCCAGCTAGTGTGGACAAGTGCTAAGAGATACATGGCGAAGACTTTTCCTGAATTTGAAATGCAGTTACACACACATTCACCATATGAGCACGTGTGTGGACACAGTCTCAAATGGTTGTTGTGCTAATATGTTTTTAATGTCTTTGGGATGCAGTCGACATCTCTAATTTGTTTTTGTCTAAGCTGTGTGCTTATGTGGATGGGGGACATCAAAGCAGTAAAAATAGCATTTCTCATTAACCAGCCTTTCCCTCTCATTTATTTTCCTCATGCTCGCTTGCCAGTTTGTCCACATGAGTGTTTTTTTAGGCACAGCTTGTGAAGTTGTGATGAGGAGTTGCTGGAGAAAAGATAATGGGCCGACACACGGTGTCCATTTCCTGCTTCCTATACTCCAGCTTTTCTTCAGTACCTCATTGTCGTCGAGATTTTCAACTTTCAAAAGCTTTTGCCAAATCAAGTAACATGATGTGAACAAAATTAGTTTTGAAACGGATGGTTCTTCGTTCGGTATGAATAATGTGCCGCACCAGACAGAAATAACACTTAATAGCAGGTTTGATAAACTAATTTGGTTTTAATGATTGAAGTTTCAGCTCTTTTACACCACACGAAGTCGGACAGGGAGTTTGACTGCTGAGTTCCAAACTTTATTTCCTCCATTTATGCAATTTAATGACAAAGACTGTATCTTAATAAACTTTATTTTCACTTCATTCTTTGTTGTATTTGATATTTTGTAAGTGGTGCAGTCTAGTTCATGTAAAAAACATGAACTAGACTCTTTATTTAAACCGCACTTTTAATACAAAACCATGTAGCACAAAGTGCTTTACACTCCAAAGGAAAAACAAACAGGAAAAACAAAAAACAAAGAATACCCAAATCTACCACAACACAACCCCTCATTCCCACCCCTCAATCTAAACACAACAGAAACATGTATTAAAATGCATTGACTTGAAAAGGGATCGATTCATAGAAACGTGACTGTGCGCACTGAGGAAATGCCATTTTAAAATTCAAGATAGGGAAACACTGGAGGTTAGGTTAAAATCTAAAAACGAAGTAACATAAAATAAAATCTAAGAAATAATGTATAAAATGAGATTAAAAAAAACAGTAAAAGATACTAAAATTGGAGCACCAAAATAGCTCAATAAAAGACAATCCTGTCATTAAAACTAGAAAGAGATAAATGCTAAAACACTTAAACAAAGTTGATGTTGAAGTAGAACCAATGAGGAACTCTAAAATGCACAAGAAGCCGAATAATAAGTGACATCTATGAAATTAAAGAAAGCACAAAGCAGAGCATGGATAGACTTTGCATAAGGGCTGCATGATGTGGTACAAATAAAAAAGAAAGTAACAGGCCAGAAGATCCTGACCAGGTGCTATTTTATGCATTAGCTCAAAGCGCCAACAGCTACTATGATTTTAGTTGTTAAAATGAAACACTTTAAACCAAAGATATTAACCTTGTTATTTTTTTAATTGGTAGCTCGTAGGTTTATCTTTCTTCATGTGAGGGTCCTGTTCACCTTGCCCAGGCTGCAATCTGGTCCCAAGACCCACTCATGATTCATTACTTCATGCTCACTAAAAGCATCCCAAATGAAAGTACAAATGGATTCAAATGCTTCCATGGAGCTTTTCTTTTCTTTTTTTTTCTTTTCTTTTTGTTTTAGCAGCATTCTGGCAGGTCTGTCAGTACGCTGAATGAGGCTTTTGAAAAGCTACATGTATTCACATTCTAGTGTCAGCATCTTCATTTGAACGTTTGTGTCCCTGCGAGCTGAAAGCTTATGTTTTTATCCATCAATTCAGCCGTTAAACGTGCCTGCGTGGCAGAACGATGAAAATTAAAATTATGTTGGTATTATCCCTTGATATGTTTCAATCATTCCTGCATGTAATGTCGAGATGAATAGATCTGCTTTACATTTTGATGCATGCTGATTTGCTAACCGCTCCCATTACCACATCACAGTCACACACAACGCCTCACACAGAAGAGAAACATGAGCAAAATAGGATTGACACCCTGCGACTCTTTACAGCAGGTCTTTGGTTGTAATTATAATTAAATAACACAAATAACACAAATGGTATGTTATTTGTCTAACAACCTGTGAGGTAAGGAGAAGACTTAGTTTAAGTGGCTGATTTAAAGGGATATTCCGGCGTAAAATGAAGTTAGGGTCAAAGACACGTAACATAGTTAGACACCCCCTCAAGACTACTTTATCATTTCCTTGAAGTAATAATCACCATAATAATCATTTTGCACTGCAGACGCAGTAGTTCTTCTGCATTAGCGCCTCGTTCTGATTGCATTTCCATGAAGAAATGATCAAAAATGTTCTTCCTTGAGCTGCGTCACCCCGCTGCACTCGGTGACCGTCTCGTCTGAGCTCTCCCTACAAACAAGTGGCTGCTGGGAGAGAGTAGGTGAGTTGTGTTTTGGAGATCAGGCAAAGCTAAAAAGATGTTTAAGTGCTATGGCTGGGACCCTATATGTGCTGTTAAAGTTGGGTGCTGTTCTGAGCATTATTTGTGGCTGCAGAGTATCGTTTTGGTTGAGGTGTGCACGTGGATCCATAGACCGCTGTGTATTGCTATTGTGTGGTCGTTACTAAAGCTGGTATAACTAGAGAAGAAAGCGGTCGGCAACATTCATCTCTCCAGGGGGGGTTTAACTCTGTGTTGTGGTGTGTTTTCCCTGAACTTTATTTTACACCGGAATATCCCTTTAATTGCTGATGAAATATATCTCACATCCTCAGCTGTGACCGTCTTTTAGATCTTGCTGATTATGAAAGATTCACGTCACCTTTTTCCCCTCAAGTATCCATCTTTTCAAATTCATAGTTAGACTAAAAGAGGAATGCGCTTCCTTTAGGCTGATGACGTATTTTGTGTATCTAGAGTTGAGAAGTGTGCGGCATCTGATGCACATTCTGCCCTTCACTCAGCTGACTTCCTATTGTGTTGGATTAATTGACTTTGGCTTGAACTCCTTATCTGACACATGTTTTTATAATTCTATCAGCGGGGCAGGTTGAGTTTATGAGTCAGTTTGGAGGATATTTTACCATCAAGCCAATGCATGATTAAAACCGTATTAAAGATGTTAAAGGAGAAACCAGTTTTGATGAATTACAATTTAGTTAAAAATGAAGTCAATCAGTCACATTCAGTTTCAGTTAAATGGAGTTGAATCAGAACCAAGAATAAATGCAAATATTCACTGGTTTGAAATAATGTGCAGCAGCTGGTTTCCCTCTGAAAACTATTTATTATTCTGCTCATTGTAACCCAGCCTGCCTCAGAGTTACTGTCAGTATGGTCAGATCTCGGTGCTGGAAAATGGTCAGTTCTGAAAGATGTGATTTTGGCCTAAATTTCTGATTTGGATTAGATCTGGTTTCCATAGTAATGGCCACAGACGAGTCCATCCATTGAATGGTGCCAATGAATATGCATTTTCATGACTGTTCAGCGAGCCTGCACTCTTTGCATCTCTCTTCTTAACATAGCAGTTTAACCTAATCTGCTGTTTGTCCAGGTAAAGGGTACAGTCACCTGTGTGATTTCAAAACATTATTGCATGACAAGAAGTCTAATAGTGATGTTGAATCAGAACAGGTGAACAGTAATCATCCCCAGCCTTTGCAGAATACATTATTCTTCGCCACTTCATGTTGCTGTGGAAACTGTTAAAGAGTCAGTAGGTCTGCCAAGGGTGTGCGGGTAAACATGTCATTGTGTTTCTGTGTGTGTACGTGCGTGTGTCTATGTGTGAGTGCGAGTGTGTGCTTGGCATACTATGTGTTTTATCAATTTAAAAGCTGCACTGCCCGGCAGCAGTGCGTGTTGGACGAGTTAATTTGAAAAACAGATGAACAGATTCAAAGAGATTCGCAGTGGGTGGGTGAGAAAGAAATGAAAAAAGAAATGGCGGAGGGAAAAGAAACTGACAGATGATTGGAAGAAGGAGTGACAAGGGAAAGAGAGAGAAAGAGAAAGAGAAGGGGGGTGAGGAAGGACTCCGGACTTAGAGAGAGCTTGAGATGTAGAGATTCAACTGGTGAAATGTGTGTTCAGTATATATAGATTGTTATTGGGGCGTGTATTAGGGCCCACTCTGCGAGGTGCGATGAATTGGCTCTATTAATGAAAGTGTGTGCCAGTGTGTGGTCTTGGATGCGGGCCGCACACACAAACACAGATGCACACTGCACTCCCTCTCCAGGCTCATATCATTACCCATCATTACACCCCCCATTTGGCATCAGCCGGCCTGATCGATCATGGCCGATAACTCTGTCTCACTCCAGGCCGGCCTATCTATCTCTATCGCACCCTCTTTCATATCTTCCTTTCTCTGTATCTCTCTTTTTCACACCATATCTCCTCCCTCCCTCCCTGTCTCTCCTCCCCCCTCACACAGCTCTCCTGCCTACAAATCTGTATCAGTTTCAAAATTACTTAAATCGCCCGCCCACCCTATCCTCCTTTGCTTTTTAGCTTTCCTCTCTAAAGTATCTCTTTATCTGCCGACGGCTAAATCTCCCTATCTAACACTCACTAATCTCCTGCTGACTCCTCTCTAGTTCCTGTAGCATATTTCCCTAACTCATATCTCTCCTTTTGCCACTGTGACAGGCATATCAATCACCTTGTATTTCCATTTGTCACTGACCTGCTTTCAGCTTCACTATAATACGCCTTTTCTTCTTCTACTGTACCCACCCACAGCTTTTCATCTTTCTTTCTGTCTCTGTCACCCGTCTTGCTCTCACTCCAGCAGCCCGACCGCACCAGCTGTGTCTCTTGCACACTATTCACCGCTGCTTCATCACTTTTCTTTCTTTTTTTTTGCTGCTCCCTTCTTCTCCTTCACAACCGCCTCCTTGTGCTCCTCTTCCTCCTTGACAAACTCTGCATCCTCTCCTTATCTGCGGGGAGAAAGTGGTGCTTACGACCGAGGCTTGAAGGCTCAAAACGGCTCTCGACAGTCACTTTGAAAAGTTGGAAAGAGATTCGAATGTGTGCATGCAAACTGCTCGTGTTTAAGTGAAGTTAAAAAAAAAACAGGCAGGCGTGTAGATGATTGCTTGAAGATCTGAAAAAGGAACCAAATTTCATTCACGCTGATCTCATTTGAAGGCTTGATAACACGGCCCGAGAAGGATGAGAGCGCTCAGCTGCTTTTCTCCTCCGTCTCCTGTCCCTCTCTTTGCTTTGGTCTCTCACTTGATCTAATGATGCTCTTGCTTGTGTATGTTCCACATTGATCCTAATTCAGTTTGGATGGAGCAGTCCTTTCAGGCAATAGTCTACAGCGAGGGCCCCAGATGGATTTTTAGTTTCTTCTGCAGCCATCAGAGATTAATGGGAGGAAGACTGCCACCAGACTGGCCAGAGGAGCACAACAATCAATTCCTCAATAATTCTATATTTACACTTTCTCAGGTAAGAAAGGAAAAAAAAAAAAAGAAACCATATTGTGTTGCAGAGAGTGGGGCGCCTCCCTCTTTGAGAAAAAAAAAACACAGTTAGTAGGTAGGGGTGGGAATCACTTGTGGCCCCATGATACGATATTATCACAATACTTGGGCCATGATTCGATATTATTGCGATTTATACATTTTTTTTAACTGTTTAGCTAACTTAGCATTTATCTTTCCTTTATGTTTGTCTTATTAACACTGTATTTTATTTTCTTGCAAACCTTATGTGTCAGGTCCGTCCACTTTGTGCCCCGTTTGCGTTCCTAATGTCTCTCCCCAGGTGCTGCTGTGTTTGTTGCACTAACTTTCTCCTGCTTTATGATGTCTCCTCTGCCAACCTCACTGGACAAACAGTTGATTTTATTTTTCCAATATCATAGATTTGACTTCACTATTACACCATTTTCCGGACTATAAATTGCTCCAGAGTATAAATCGCACCAGCCAAAAAAATGCATAATGAAGAAGAAAAAAGATATACCGGTATAAGTTGCATTTTAGGGGGAAAATTTATTCTCCAAAATCCAAGACCAAGAAGAGACATTTCATCTTAAAAGGCAAATTATGATAACAATAATAGAATAGAGAACAGGCTGAATAGGTGTAGGGTACGCTGATGTAGCACGTTGATGTTTATTCAGCTACATGAAACATAAACAACGAACTCAATAGGTGTCTGGTATGTTAACGTAACATATTAACAGTGATTCAGATAACTATAGTATAAAGAACATATCAAAACAAGTTTACCAAACTCTTGATCTCACTCCAAATCACTAAATCCATCGAATTCCTCATCCTCGGTGTCACTTCTGAACAACTATGTGCCCTCTAGTGGCTGTCTGTGTGAAAATAACAAACATGTGAAATTATATATTTTAATATATATCAGTCGCACCTGAGTATAAGTTGCAAGCCCAACCAAACTATGAAAAAAAGCGTGACTTATAGTCCGAAAAATACAGTAATTTGAAAAAAATTGATACTCGTGAAACGATGATACGATATATCACCAGACAAGATATCGCGATACTATGCTGTATCGATTTTTCCTCCCACCCCTATAAGTAGGCGAGTCAGGACTTCATATATATAACTGATTGCCGTTTTACTCTCTGTTCCTGCCTTGTTGTGTAACTGGGTCAAAAATGATATTATTCAAAATTATACCCCAACTTAATGGAACATAGAGTTGTCACCGGGGTTGGGCAAGAGACTGAAATCCATCATTAGGCATGATTAATAGTTACAGCTGTCAAAAAAGTTCCTGCTTTAGTAAACAAGTCCTGAGGTAATTAGGAAAGTAACTCCAGTGTTGCTTCTTTTTGCTTCAGTACTCCTCTTAATGTTCCCCGCCTCTTATCTCAGTGCTTTGCTCTCTGAAAGCAGCAGACTCAACAGTTGAGAAGGGAAGTATGTCTTCAACAATATGCCTTGCAATCTGTCTGTTTAGTCCTTCCTGACTTACAGACTGAGGAGCTGGCAGTGATTTAAGATCAAACCGTGGCTGTTTGAATGGAGTGGTTACACCCTGGTCTGCGGAGCAGCAGCTGGGTCACCTACTGAGTGTGTTGTTTGATAAGGTGTGAGATCAAGATTAAGGAGTAGAATCAGGTTTTCCCACGTATAGACTAAAACTAACCACAATAATATCCTTAACCTTGAGGAGGGAAAATTGATGCTTGTGTTTCCAACCATAGACTGTATATGCTATGGACAACTTGGTTCCGCCTCCCGCCTGTGTACGGATTAGAAGCCAACATGTTTCTAACACAGAAAGCTCACCTGAATGATCGTTCACCATTTAAAAGCACGCAAGTACTTGCTTACCAGGGCGTATCTTTGCCCACAGAATTGTATGATTACGTTGTTGCCTGCTACTAAAAGCCCTTTTAATTGTCTGTAATTTTAACGCCACCATGAGCCTCAAAAGTAACTACACATAAAAGCTTGGTAATTAATCAGATTTCAATTTTTAACCACGATTTGGGCACCCCATGATCATAAAAATATGACAATCGAGACTGCAGCCTGCTGTGTTGCTCCTGCTACGTCCTACACTTTCTTTCTTTCTTAACAAGCAGCGCGAGGGTGCTGGCCTTCCCCTCAAACAGCTCTCACTTCCACTTCATCCCAGCTTGGGTTAATGTGAACCAAATTTTGGGAGCATGAAGAAGTCTTCGTTCCTGTTAAGAGAAATGGTTAACCGCTCTTTGTTAACAGCGAGGTGCAACAGCAGCACAAACTATCACACAGCCACAGGAAGAGAGAGGAGAGCAGGGAAAGGAGCAGCAGGAGGAGGCAGGCGTGTGTGTGTGTGTGTGTGTGTGTGTGTGTGTGTGTGTGTGTGTCTGGGACATAAGAGGGATGCTGAAGGGATCAGAAGCGTGCATGAGGGCGCACAAGCTAATGACTGCCAGGCCAAAAAATTAGAGACATGAAAATAAAATACAAGCCCAGGTCTTAACTTTATAAAAGATGTAAAATAAAAGCATAAAAAGACTGAGTCATATGTTTGATCTGCAGTGGTAAAGGAGTCTTAAATTTTTATGGCAGTGAAAAAAATTCCTTTAGTCCAATGCATGGGCTTTTTCAGTAGAAGTACATTTGACTTTGAATAATTTATATCATCCAGTGAGACAGACAGACATGCTTAAGTAAACAAAAATATAGACTGAACAGTTTATTTCCTCTCAGAATGACAAGATTTTTTAGTTTTAAGGAGGTTTTAAGTTGCGCAAATGAGTGTTAACACAGATGTTAAATAATGAGCAGTCCTCTTTAATAATCATAATATAAATCAGTTGAAATAATTGTGATTGTGCTTTTTGTTTGTGATGATCAAGCGGCTCTACTGCACATTTAATTACTGCTATTAGAAGTGGCATTATATTCATGTATTTGTTGGTCATTTGTTACTCACAGCACCGTTTTTCACTGCATCAACATGATACTAGTAAAAAACAACGCTTTTCTAACACAGCAGCAACAAAAATACAAATCACGAACACCCCGAAGTTCTTGTTTTTAACAAGGTCCAAAAAGGTCTCTGAACACACAACACATTATTTGAAACACTGTTCACAAGCAGAAAGCATAATGGGGAGGATTTTCCCCACACTAGGGTCTACTGCATTTTTAAGATATTACATCTCCATTATAAGTTATAATGCAGAAGAAGTGAGTGGTGATGTTTGTGTCTGCAGGGAATTGATATTCCCTGGTATTTTTCGGTTGCTGTGTTTGGGTCATTTTTGTGCATTAGTCATTTTGCAGAGGTGTGGAGCTCTCAGCTGACAGTCCCTGGGACCAAAATAAAACCTAAAGGGACCGGGCGACATCCCTCTCTCTTCTCTACTCTCTGGCATCTTATTGAGATTGACCGGTAACACGGGGTCTGTTGCAGAGTCACAAAGGGGCTTGATTAGTGTTTGCAAAACTGTAAATTTAAAGGGTCTGTGTGTATCCTCATCGTTTAAGAGATGGAGGCGAAACGCACCCACGGTCTGGGCAGAATGATAGGCAGCTGCACATGGACAAAATTAAGCTGCTCTCTGCACATTTGCACAGAGATGTGAAATGTTCTCAAATTCTTTGGGGCATAAGTGCTTTGGAAAAATCAGAAAATTATGTCTGCTGATTTATTTTCATGAGTGCATTCGCTCTGCAACTTTCTCATGTTACTCAGCTTAAGGCTGGCCTGTGAGCTAAATAGTAATGTCTACAGTAGCAGAGGTCATGACAGCAATGTGAAGGAAAAAAGACACTTGGAGTGAAAAATTAAACATTATATCGAAAATAAAAACCTATTAATTTATTTTCCTAAAGCTACAAACGGTTAAACATATAAAACAGCAGTGACAAAGCTGATTTGCATTTTCAAAACTTTGTCAAAACACCTTACAAAGAAAATATTGGCGTCTTGAAGGGACTCAAAAATCTCTCTAGGCAGCTGAAGTCAGATGCAGCAAAAGTTTATTTCATCAAGCAAAGACAGCTGACAGATCCGAATGAACCGAGTCAGCTTCAGAGCAGCAGAGTGAAGATTAAACACAGTGCAGCATTGTTGTAATGACTGGAGTACCATGCTACATCTCATAACATTGTTAGAAATAACCACATCTAAAAAGAAATTGATCTGGGAACTGATAACATAACATAGGACCCATAATAATGTGACACACACTCTTATGTTTTTATTTTGATATCTTAAATATTGTTCTATTCAGTCCTAATGTGATAAATATTTATGCACTCAAACATCTGTGACATGTTAGTTGGTTTATTTGTGGTTTAAATTAGTTTGCATGCGCCCTGTCCATTAGACAAAGATGTTAAAGCTAAATTCATGTGCATGTGTTTCAGTATTTCTGTATTTCCAGGTGAGCAAAAGTGAAGAGATAACACAAACGTAAAGGGTGTGTGTGAGTTATGATGCAAATCAGTCACTTGAGGAGGAGATTTTCAAGTCAATTGATAAGTCTGTAGTGCCGCACCTATTGTGCTTGCTAGTGAGAAATTCAGTGTGTAACCATCTGTAACCTGCTGTAATATTAACGGTGTGAATGTGCAGAATATATTAGAAGTAAGAGTGTGAACTAGAGTGAGTTTGTGGAAGCAGGAATTTTAGACACACCTACTTTTTAGTAGACAAAGATACACACAGTATGCAGCCAGACAGATGTGTCTGTATTTTAGTACAAAGGGGTAAAGTATATGTTAAAATCCATGCATTGTGTTCAAGTGTGCAACAATAAGCCCTGCGAGTCCCATCTGAGGTTAAATATGAGTTAAACACTTGTTGCATCTGTTTTGCCCACTATAAAATCATATAAATATAAAAATTATTCTTTAATACTGATTTAAACTCAGAGTAGATAATTCAACCTTTGTTATATATTTTAATCATAATTTATGGTAACAATTCGTCTTTGAAAAGCGCTAAATATGATGGATAGAGGATTTATTTTCGACTCTAAATGTACGGCCACAGACTCTAAATTACAGAGATTTAATAAACACAGTCGAAACTTCTCTGTTTGTCATTCTAATCCAAACTCACATATGTCTCTATATATCTCTCTTGTAAGGACATAGTGTATACGTAGACATAATCGGTCCAAGGGTCAAAACGGACACATTTTACCAGTCTCATAATGTACTATACTTTTCTCTATTGTATTTTTAATATATTCTCTGCATTTTATCGTGGGCTGGAGAGAAACTTATTGTTCGATTCTCATGTATGCACTCGCATACGGCAGAAATTTATGATAAAAAGCTAGAATTGAATCTTGAACCTTGAATTTCCCCGTAAGGGCGCTGACTGTCGTTACATTTAAGCACCAAAATTTCAGTGACTCACGGCCTTTGTACTGTTTATTCACTCTGACACGCTCTGTTTTCATGCCCGCTGTCATGACTTCTTTCCCACAGAGAAATGAGTGGGTATATGAGTTTTTTTAGAGTGCATTTGCATGTGTCCTAAGGCGTATCACTATATTGTACTTTTCTCATGTCAATACCTGTGGCCTGCCAGAAAGAGAGCGGTGTGATGTCATATAAAGCAGCCTGAAGCGGCGAGGGCTCACAGTGCAGCATACTCAGCCCTGTAATATACCTGTCTGTCCGTCCATCCATCCATGGCTATTGTTTCCTGGCTCTCCAGCTCCATGAGCATCTGGCTGACAGAGCCTCTGGAGGCCGTGCTATAAGCCCCAGACTTGCTCCCTGCAGGCCGTCTCACTGACAGGAGATCAGGCTACATCAGTGTGTGTTAGAGGTACAGCGGGATCTGAGGGATGGATCCTATTTCAGCTGATCTAGCACACTGAAAGCTTGTGCCAGAGATTCACCGAAAAAAAAAAAAAAAAACTTACTTTGCACACCCTCTTGTGTGTGTGTGTGCGCGTGTGTGTGGACATGTGTGCCCAGTTGCGCGTGATATGAGTGGGATTTAGAAAAAGATAGCAGTGAAAGACAGTTGAGACGGTGTGAGAGAGACAGTGAGAGAAAAAGAGAGAGAGAGATAGAAAATATGTTTGCCCTGTTCACACCGATCTGTTTGTGTGGGAGTGCATTAACATCTATGTGGGCTGCAAGGGAGGCTGAATATGCAAAACAGTTGGAACAAAGGCTAATAACTCTGGAGCTGCTGTGCGAAAAGATGGTACATTTCCTTGACTTTTTGTGGAAGCCAAACAGGCTTTTGTGCAGTATGGAGTAGGAACATGGGTTTTGATTATTCTCTAAGAAGTTTAGAGAGCTTATCTGAACCTCAGGGAGAGATTTTTTTGGTCTCTATTGCAGTCTGACACGGCTACATTTCAGATCACCTAGCCTTCACACTTTTGCATTTATTGTTTTTTTTCTATCCAAAGCTCATCTGTTATCCTGTTAAAAAAAGGTTTTAATTAATAACACTGATAATAAACCGGTATATTTAACAGCTAAAAAGCTTATGAAACTGTATAAAATCAAAGTAAGACTGTCAGGGAACAAGGACAAGTATTAATCTAATAATTTAACAGAATCAGAGGAGGTGTGATAAAGAAATTTAAAGGCATGATTTGGAGAGAGAAAATGTTTATTTAGTTACACTTTATTTGACGCCTATCTCTATAACGCATTATAAATATATGTATAATGCGTTAAAATCACATTATAGTACTGTATAATTACAGCTATAAACACTCATAAATGATCATAATGCTTTATAGCAATAATCATAACACATTATAAAGCATTTTATCATGACTTACAAGGTCAGGTATCATAATGTGTTATGCTTGTAATAAAAGCCTTGTGATAATTAATGAGTGTTTAAAATGATAGTTATACAAGTTTATAAACAGATTATAACACATTATAAATATATGTATAATGCATTATCTATGTGGGCATTATCAGTGAGTTGTTAACAGTTATAACACATTATAATACCTGACCTTGTAAGTCATGATTTAATGCTTTATAATGTGTCATGATTATTGCTATTAAGCATTATGATCATTTATGAGTGTTTATGACTATAGTTATACAGTGCTATAATGTGATTATAATTCCATATAAATATAAGAGTTATAAGGATGGGCGTCAAATAAAGTGTTACCGAACAAACTACTGAACTGGGGGAATCAAAGAGATATTGATTGTCCAATTTAGCATTGCTTCTCAAAAGCACTTTGAGAAGTTTTGTAGAGATATTCGCTCGAGGAACCTACCTGGCTGCACTACACAGAAGAGTTTCCACTGTCACTTTTGAAACATCTTTATTTTTATAAAAACTTCTCAGCCATTGAGGATTCGAGGAGTGTGGTGATGCCATTTTTGTTGGAGTGTGAGCTAAAAATGTTCGAGCTATGTTGCATTTTGTAAAAACGTGTGAACGGGGATCTGTGCATCAATGTGCTCCATGTTTGCAGGAATAGACAACATACTGCAGAGTGTAATAGCATGTGTGAGCATATGTATGTGTGTGTGTGCGTGCGCACTTTCTTTTATTTCGGTAGTGGAAGGTTGCTGGCAGTAAAGGGATTTGAAAAGTGCGATTTTGAACTTCTTCATGTTAGAAGTCAGTTTGATCAATGTCTGCTGCAGCTCTCTCTTGCTGCAGGGCACAGTGAACCACTGATAAATGAATTCCTCAGTGTGAGTCCGTGGACTGATGTGTAGGTGTACGGTGAGAAAAAAAAAAAGAGAACAAAAGCAAATCAGAGTCTAAAAGTGTGTGTCTGTATTGTGCAGCAGCACATATAACATCTACTGTGTTTTTTTTTTTTTTGTATTAAAAGGTGTGGGTGTTGTGTATCAGTGAGCTTGTGTGTCTGTCTGAGTCGACTGATTGAATCACATATTCAAAGCCTCTAATTAGGATCATCTTACTCGTGGGCTCGTTGTGGCTAACAAAGACACCAGTGAGTCTCTGGACTTTATCAGCCAGTCCAGCCGTGGAGTCGGGCTGGCAGTCAGGCCCTGGTGCCCAGCCTGGCCCCGGAGCCTGGCGGCCTGCAGAGGAACCCATGTGCAGAAAACCTTTTAGAGCTCCAGCAATCCGATTAAGGCAGCTTTCTTTTTTTTTCTGCAGCTCTGTTGATGCTGCGATAAGTGTTCTAGCAGGCTCCTCAGATCAACTCTAAAAGCACTATTTCATTAAAGAAAGAACTCAAATTTCTGAGTGGATCATTTTGGGTTTCTTTGTTCATTTTGAGGAGGTGAGATGGAGTCAGTAAGCGAAGAGACATACGTATGTTGACATGTAGCATAAGCACGCAGGATGTGGAACGTTGATGCCGGATAAGAAGGAGAAGCTGCTGCTGAAAGGATTTTTCACACTTTTGATTGAAAGATATCAATAGGAATTACAAGTCTTTGTATTCTATCTGAGTGTGTTCATGATTGTGGTTTTCCAAAGACAGGTACAACTTGAAAAGTGGCCATATTTACCTCTAAGTGTTCTGGCGGAGCGTCAGTAGAATGATGGATGATGTCTTCATCGGTGGCCAATTCTCTGAAGTTGTGGTTTGAGCGCTGGACTGAAAAACAAGATTACATTTAATGGACATTCACTCCCATCCAGAATTAACTGCAGGCTAAACACATACAGCTGCACATAACACACGTCCAACAAACCTGCTCGGTAGCCAGTGTTTAAAGAAATGGCCGAGAAACACACAGCTTAACACAACTACTTACAATTTTCATAATAAAGCCTTGAGTGAATATTGCTTCTTTGAAGGAATGAGGAGTGGATCCTGGACTGCCAGCTGGAGTGAAAAAGAGGTATTTATTCATCAATTGGGCATTTTGGAGGAAACGGTTTAATATTGTCTTTTTTAAGGATGTGCAGGAAATTCTAACAAGGGTATGAGAGACCTCGGTGTATTACATAAAGAGTGTTTTATTCAGAATATATTGTATCTCGAATACAAATTGGAGTGCGATTGCCATGTCGTGACCTTGATTCAAACTGATGTGGAAAAATGTGCTTCATTATTAACTTCTTCTTAAAAAAGGGAAATGTTTCCTTGTAGTAATGAGACTTTGGGAACAGGACATTTTAATTTTTAAGTAAAATTCATGATGGAATTATTCATTTAGTCACAGTAGAGGATTTTTTGTGCCTCACCTTCAGATATTAGAGGAACAAAATATCGATTTCTTAGAAAAGATTTGGGAGCAGCTTGAAAAAAATGCAAAGTAGGAGGAGTAAAACGCTGGTTAGGTGACAAAGAAACCTTGGTAACGCATAAAATCAAACGTGGCTGCAATAAGCGGTAATTGACTCTGACAATTACTGCGCACTGCAGGTAACCTATTTAATTAAGATGCTACTAATTGAACTTTTAATATTCTGTTAACAATTGCCTGAATACTTTTATAGTCTGATCATGTTTGCTGTTGTTCCTCTTCTTTTATCCGAAACAAAAACGTTAACAATCACCCCACATAACTGCCGCTGTGAACAAAACGTGCGAGAATGTGTATTGACTCCGTAATAAGGTCTCCAGCCTGTTAAGACACTAAATAGGTATGCAGAGCCGGCTGCAGATACCTATCTTCATCAGAGGGTGACCTTTAGCGTGGCCTATTCCTGTATAGTTTTCCTCAGGGTGCGTGGATGTGGGCAGAGCGTGGCTATATACAGTCGGAGTACTCAGCAGGATCAATAGCTCTCTCTAAAGCTGTTCCCAGACACACCTGCTGTACCCGGGGTGGCCTTTGTGACACAGAGATAAAGAGAAAACACTCCCCGGGCTGTTAGTGTCTGCTGATCCTCTCCTGTCCCCACTTCCTCACCTCCTCCTCCTCCTCCTCCTCCAGCTCAACCTGCATGCAGAGAGACGGATAAATCAAATTGTGCGACACAGAGAGGAGCATTGCTAATATTTTCATGATTCACAACATTATTGTCGTGACTTAACCTTTTCTTAAAGGCGAGGAAAAATACCCTCATCCATCCACGACGGGCTGGTGCTGAGACAGCTGAAAGAGCTGGAGGGCGGGGTCCATGTATATTTACTAACTCTGAGCTCCATTAATCAAAAGACACAGCATGTTGGCTCCACCTGTCTGTCAGTGTCCTCTCACATTCTCAGGCCACTCTCTCTCCCCGAACCCCTCCATAGTCTCAAACACTCAAAATGTGCATATTTAAGGCGGGCGCTCTCCTCTTTGTCTTCTCTGACTCTTTTCTGTCCCCTGGCTTTTGTTGCTGACTCCAGTCTCCCACCTTTCATCGTTGTTTCCTTCTTCTTTAACCCCCTCATCCTGATTCTCGTCCAACTCTTCTTTATTTTTTTTTCTTTTCCATTTTCTCCTTCCTCTTGGAACAGTAGTAGTGTGTAGTATTAGTGTGCTGTCCAGGCAGGTTAGAGAGGGTAATTTGAGCCTCTAAGGGCGCCGTGGGGCTTGGATCTCGTTTTGGAAGGTGTGCTGACAGTCAGCAATCCAGCACTGATCACACCAAAGTCACAAAGCTCTGTAAGATGTGTAACATCCTCGAGGGGAGAGGGTAAGTGTAAATGAGTAAAGGAGAAAGTGCAGAGAAAGAAATGGTCGTAGTTTTATCCACACAGACAGAGTCAACAGAGATGTCACTGTGCACCCAGGGCCATGTTAGCTTCGAAGCCCAAGTCCATTTGCACCTGACATGAGGGGGAAGCAACTTTTCTGCCTGAGTCCACATGAAGGTAGGAGAAAGTGCACCATTTTTCTTCTATCTATATATATAGATATATCTGTACAGAGTTGGAGCATCTCTATAAAAATTAATTTTGATTGCAAGGTTGTGTAAATCTTGTTGAAGAGAGAACACTATGTCTCAGTTAGGAGCTTAGTTTTGACAGAGCGAGTGACGCATACCCAACGCACACACAAACACTCACGCTGAGAGAAAGGGAGTTGGAGTTGAAGTTAGAGTTTGAGTAGACAAGCGTCTGGTATAGAAGCAGTTTTAATATGTTAGCCCGTCTCCCTGCTGGCTTCCCCTCCCCCTTTCAGGGACGGCACTAATGCCATTAAGTGTGGGACAGATCTGTTCCATGTCTGCAGGCCTGCCAGTCTACTGGTCTGCCCCGAGACCACTCTCCATCTAATCCTATCCTCTCTCTCCCTCCATCCTCCACCTCCCCTCCACGCCAGAGACAGGAAGAGGCGGCTGGGAGAAAAATCTAATAAATAAATGAGAGGATGCAAGAGGAAAAAAATATATAAATTAAGTTCTCCGTTCTCGTAAATCATGTTGCCAACTTCCAGTAGACAGGAGGGCGGAGCTTAGGAGAGACGCAGAGGGAGACCATAGGAGGAGGAGGAGGAGGCGGCGGCAGGGAGAGGCAGAGAGTACCAGAGAGGGAGAGAGGGAGGGAGAGATCGTGCGAGGGAGAGAAAGAGGGAGAGAGTGCGGGAAGCGTTTCTGTTCCACCCTCAACCTAGGCTCGGCTCTGGAGACTCGGCGGCGAGGTGTTTTTAATTGATTTTTGATTAGCTAGACATGAGGAGGGGGGGTTTGTCCATTAGCATGAAGGGAATGAACCTCTGAGAGGAAGTGAGTGAGAGAGGGAGGTACAGTGAAGGAGAGAGAGAAGAGAGGGAGAGAAAGAGAGAAGCTGAGATAAAGAATAGTCAAAGACACTGTGAAGCAAATGACAAGTAAATAAATGTAGATGCATATTTGATATGCACTGATGGGATAGAACATTTTCCTTTCATTCAAACTGCTTTGCAGCTTAATTGACTAAATTATTTGCTTTAATTATACATTATTACCCCAGGGTTTTAGGTTTTCATAGATAAGGGAACATTATCAAACCAGGAGAGCCACTCGGGTAGAAGCCCAGAGTTTATTTCAGGATAATCCAGATAACATGGAAATTCAGGTTCTTTGTTTTCTCCTGGGTCTCTCCGGCTCAGAGATGTGCTCTGAACATTGCAGATAGACAGTAGTTCCTTGAAAACAACTTTTCATTGATGTTATACAACCAGGAACAAATATAACTATACATTATCTCTCTTTATGCCCGCTGATGGTAACACCCACAAACTCCCCCTGCATGGAAACAATGCGGAAAATATGGATGTTTAAGTTTTCTACAGAAGGCTCCACGACTCCTGGTGTCTGAAAGCTTCATACGCTGAATTACATTAAAAGGGTTGATCCTTAGTGGAATTGACGGGTAGTGAGTCTGCAAGTCCAGCTAACCATGCTATCCTTTCTCTCCAGCTGGCGGAGTCTGATCTAAGTACTAAAACAGGAGGAGGATTCACAGGGGAGCCTGGGATAGTCTTGGCAGTCACAGACGGCGTCACGTTCAAAAAAATAAAAAAATGTAATCCAACATCTAAAAAAATTCAATTTATTTGTTATAGCAGCTTATTGGTGTCACACGGGGACAGTTTATTTGCAAGCTTTGACAAATATAAGTCTTTGATTCTCATAGAAAGGAAAACAAACCCTTTCAGTGTCAGTGAGCAGTTTTTTATTTAATTTTTTTTTTTAGCTAACCAGAATTAAATTTTTGAATCAGGTCACTTCTTTCTCAGCTTTGTTAATTATTTGATCAGTCAACTGCAAGAGAGGTACCAGATTTCACTCTTCATGTAAAATATATTTAAGCCTCAGCAGAAACATTAGTTACTGTTTTAAATGGTGATTAAATGTTGTCGCCTCATTTGCATTTTTAATCCTTAGGCTAAAAAAAACAGATGATTATTTTTAAATAGATATTCTGAAGTGGCAACTTTTCAAGTCATTTCTACAGAAATCTGAATTGTGGCTAATCTGCTTTTTAAAGGTATGAACATTATCTTAGATTTTTAACTCGGCGTCTGCTTGCTTTTGTATTTGTTAGTTGGTGACCTGGTAATAAGCAGGATGATTTACAATTAGCAGGTGGTTAAGTGACTCCACTTTGTGACAGGGTCTCGTCTCACACTGTCTGGATTCTGTTTTGCATAATCCTACACTCCACTGCGCAATGCAACATCGAAATGACATCTATTTAACATATTCTTTTGACGATAAGTTACAATTTCAACGTCTAAAAGAGGTCCAATAATGACGACTAATGACGAAGATTTGGTCTTCAGATGACGTCCAATTTCTAAGCATCAGAGCAATGTCTAAAAAAGGTCCAATTCGGGCGTCGAAATTTCTAACCTATTTTGCACATCACACTGACTTCTAGATGTGGTCTTTGACAGACCGACCCAATACTGACTTGATCTGCACGTCTCTTTGATGTCCGATGTTTGGTAAAGTCCTAGTCGATTTACTGTTCCATGCATGTCGAGTCGTCCAAAATTCGACTTGACTTGATTTTTTTCAGCGTCAATTTACAGTCTATAGTTAATGTCATCAGGAGGAACGTACCAAGTGCTAATGGGGGTGTTTTCAGAGCACCCCCTTTTACAGGTAACAGCCTGTCTCAGAACACCCCCCCTTGATTTCACCATTTTGGGTTCGCCTAACGCACTGGAGACCGGCCTCAGACAGGAAGATTAAAGAGCGTCTGCGTTAGTTAGCGTAATTTGCCATTCATTTTTATTAAAATGTTTCAACTTTCATTGTATTTAAAACCCTTATTGCACTGATATCAGTATATTTTGGCCTCACCTCGCCGCGTCGTCCCCTGCCACAGAAGGATTTGCCATCAGAGTCGATTTTTGGTTGAAAATTTTAGGGTTTTAGTCGACCAAGAATTTCTTTGGTTGATTACAGACCAACAGTACACAGTATCCCTTTCATAATGCCTTATTTATGAGCTGCTATAATGATTAATGAGTTTTCGTAAAATTATCATCTTTTCTTTCATATTCTTGCTCATATTTTTAGCAATAGCAATTCAAGATAGTTGGCTAAATTCTCGCCCTCTGATGATGATGATGGATGAAGGAAGTAAACCTACACAAGTGTTTTATATTCAAAATCAGCCTCTCTGTTTACAGTGCATTCAGTACCAGAGCTGCTCAGAATTAAACATTTCCTCTTATCGCTGCTTCATTTTGACCACATTCAGTCTGTGAAACTTTATTGCAGAATGTTAAAAGTCTGCGCCCTCATTTTTCATCCAAAAATTGCCCACAAAGCAAGACAAAAGTCATTTTGGAAAATGTGTGTCTGCTGACCATTTTGATATTTTGCAGGGGGTAATGGAACAAGAAGCAGCAGCCACGGTGAACAGTCAGATATAAGGCTGCAGGCGACAGACTCCACGCCTCCAACTCTTCAGGAAGGTAACTTTTTCTTTTGCCCTGCTGTCGTGTGAAAAAACTACTTCTGTCATGAACAGCATGAAATCACATCATGATAGCCACTGTTTTAAAATGACTTTGTTTGTCTGAGCTGTAAACTGATACAACAGCTGGTCCTCTGTTGTGTTTCTATCAGAAAAGCAACTGAATGAAGATTTGCTGTAGTTTAAATCACATAAGCAGGTTTCTAAAATCTTGAGAGAGCCTTCTTTGAATATAAAATCCTCCAGCTTTTTCAAAGAGAGAGCTCCGCTGTGAGGTGCCAAGTGAATCATTATCAATAAGATCAGAGTCTGTAATCTTCGCAAGGTCTTACATGTTGGAAGAAGAGTGAGTTATTTGTACGAGCCTTCAATTTTCCAGTGGATATCATAAAAAAAATAGTCTCTTTGTCTCTCATTCTTTGCCCTCCTTCAGTCTCAGCACAGTTATTTGCTGTTATTTGGAGATCGAACGCTATTGTTCTAGCTTGTTGAAATGAAACATAAACTGTCCCACAGTTTCAATAAACTGCTCCAAACATGTTTGGTGTGATCACACTCTAAGTGTCCCCTCATGCCAACTGCAATCAACACAGAAACTCCTGCTTCAGGCTCGGCTAACTGAGAAGGTGCCGAAGCTAAAACCTGGTCTCACTATTTCTACCAATGACACATAATCTTGAGCAAAAACACATTTCTAGACAAAAATCTGCGCTTGGTAAGCCCGAGAGTTGTTAATAAATCACATTTGCGCGCTTGGATACATTTTAATTGACAAGTTTCTCACTTTTTAAAATCAGAATAAATTATGATTTGTAGGTTTTATTAAAGTGAGATGATTTGTTTCATAAATTGAACACATGGCTTTTCTTTTCTACATTGGTTCTAATCAGTTTTCATGAAGGAAGTGTAGAAATGGGAACATTTAGTTATATCTTTTAGTTGTATTCTACATTAAAACACTCCCTCAGTCACTCTTCCTTATTTTTTTGAGGAAAGCAGCTCCTGTGGTGCTTAATGATGATAACTACTATCGTCTATATTCCAAGTTTTCAATAACATCTGTCAGTACAAACTTTCTTTCTTCCAATTGGTGTTCTTTTTTGCACAGTCACTCACTAAATACAAAAAATGTGTGTTTCTCCTTTCTGTACCTGCAAGCTGCATCTTTGTAGATACAAACATAAATACATAAATTGAGATTATACAGAATTTGAATACCACTCATTTGTTCACGCTGCACCTTTTAACTGCATTGTGAAAAAAGTCAAATTATCTTCCCCCTCCCCTTCAGTGATTGGTTATCTATTTTAAGAGATGCATGCAAATAAGCGGCACCAACAGGATAACAACAGAAGGGAATTTACTGTAATTTTGAGAAATTCTGTGTAGGTGAACTGCGAAAGCCATAAATATTTTTCTCTTTTAAAAAAGCACTCTCCT